CTAGATTGAATGTTTTTGTCCAGTGTACACATATGAGCCAAATTTAAAATTTCTAATGCACATAGATAGATAGATAGATAGATAGATAGATAGATAGATAGATAGATGTTTTAATTTCTATTTAAAATAAAACGTTTAAACAAAACCAATCCTGAAGTTTTCTTTGAATAAATGCCTTATCAAATATTGCATGTTATTCCAAGACAAAAGTTTACAATAATAATGTGAAACAGCATTATCAGAATTATAATTGCGCCCACTAAACACAGAGACTGACGTATCCATCTTTATAAAAACTGATTTTTGCATTGTTCTTATTAGCCTGTTTTATCGTTATTTTTCAATGTTAAAATCAGATAAACAAATAATTTTAATTTAATCATAATTCGGAAATTTCTTTAATATACGTGTATTTATAAGTATACGATAATAAATAAATATCTCAATTTACATTTATACATATAATTTCAACGAGATGTATATATACATTAACTATGAAAAGTAAGAATTGTGAATTTTTATGCATGGTACTGCACTTATGTAAACAATGTCATAAAAGCCTTGAATTATGCAGTAAGACATTAACCGAGGTGTGTGAAATGGTCGAGTGTCTGAGTATCTTGAAACAATCACATCCATCTCCACTGCTTATTTTCTCATCTCTTGTTTTTAATGTAACAGAGATCTGATAATGTCAGGATGCTTTCTAATTTTTGTACGAAACAGCGTGGACACAAGCATAGTGGTTGTCAGTCTCACATCTCAAGAGATCAAAAACTTGACGCGAGAAACTGACAGTCACAGCGTCGAGATTCCTCTATTCACACTGCTTATCTCCAATATTGGGCACTTTTCCCTCATAAATATAGCAAGCTATAAACGTGTCTGTGCGTATGTGCGTGTATGTGCGTGTATGTGTGAGTCTATATATAAATGAGAAAAAGCCTTTATTTCACACAATACTTATTTTTCGACAGATTCTTATTTCTGGCATAATTGGTAAACTTTAAGGACTTACCTCATCAATATATATATATATATATATATATATATATATAGAGAGAGAGAGAGAGAGAGAGAGAGAGAGAGAGAGAGACTGTGTTCTATAACGTTGGCATAATTGGTAAATAAGTAACTTTAAGGACTTACCTCATCAATATATATATATATATATATACAGAGAGAGAGAGAGACTGTGTTCTATAACGTTGGATGGCAACTGGTCAACTGCAGAAAGAAATGGCAACCTACTGCAGGAAGAAATCTACCTCGCCAGTCATGTATTGAATGATCACCTACGCGTGTATCAGGATGGGACACAACTGACTGATATACTTGTACGTACAAATATACTTCTTCAATGTCTCTGTAGATTATGACTTCAGGTCATAATCTACAGCTAGGATCAGTTCAGACGATGATGTTAAATATTACTTTGGATCCACTGAGAACAGATTGAAATTGCGTGTTTACACCACAAAATGGCACTAAACAATATCAAATACAAAAACTGCACAACAAAAGTATGCTTGGCGATTAAAAAACAGCCCAGCCATTAGCTGAGAGATAATCGCGAAAACTAAACCATATAATGGAAAGGGAAACTATTGTGAGACCGGAAACTACCTACACAATAGACTCTTCCAGGCCTATATTAAGTAGGCGACATAGCACTCTAGATAGTGACACAGAGAGTCTCGTACGACTACCAGTGTTGGACACTAACTTATAGTAAGCTCCGCTTGACACTATCTCTGTAACCTGTTGTTAATATATCTTTCTTACTTCTAATCCGTGTTCCGTGTTTTCCTTCTGTGGTCTCAACTTTGGCCCCACATCAGTGGCGACGAGGATTCTAGAAACGCACTCACGGCGAAACCTAAATACCTTACCAATCCCACATCTGGGTCGACGAAGAATTCTAGAAACGCATTCACGTCGAAAAACCGCAATACTTTGCCAGTCCCACATCGGTGGCGACAGAAAAGATTCGAGAATTTCATTCTCACCATATCATTAGCGACAGTACTCGAAAAATACACAAACTCCACGCATTCACACAGCGGTGTTGAACGTGAAATTAAGCTGGTATTAATACATTAGAGATTTAAAAGCTAAACACCCAGCGTCTATATATATTCCAATACCAAACACCATTGACGAACTAGCGATTCGACATCTGCGGAATATTAAAGTCTGTCCAAAATACGAGAACGATTTCTACACACCCACACACACAGGAAAAAAAACAGTTGTTCGTAAAACAAACTGACAATACAAGAGCAAGTACTACCATTGTACTCAAGTTCTCGGAAAAAACTATCGAAAAATTTTTTATGTAACTGAGTTGAACTCGGGCATAAAATTATTCTCCCCTCAAATTCAATGAGGTAAGTTTTCTCTTTTTTTGTACCTTGCTAAAAAAAAATACATAAGTGTGGTGAAAATTTATTCAATTACGTTAAAATTAACAGAACCACGGAAAAAACAAGCTAAACACATATAATTCCATTTTTTTTCTCTGTAAAAGAAAAAAAAAACGAACAAAAATCTATCCAAGATTTTTTTGTGTACCTCCTCTTAGTACATGGGTTTCAAAGCAAAAAAAAAGCGCTGTCATTTTTAAATATGGAAGATTTTCAAAAAGTAGTTGCCCAAATGTTAAAACTAAATTTGGATCAGCAACAAAAATCAGAAGAAAGGCAACAACAACTATTTTTGGAATTACATAAACAACAAATGGAATTCTAACAAATTACGCTTCAAAATGCTGAACTACAACAGAAACAACTTAAAGAATTACTCGTAAATGCATTAAAAGGCTCAAACTCTGAAAAAGATACAATATTCTCCCAGAGTATAATCTACAATTCAATGGAAACCCTTGAATACGTACCAGAGGAAGACAAAACGTTCGAAGCTTTTTACAGTCGCTACGAAGATATTTTCAACGTAGACTGTGAACAATGGCCCAGTAAAGAAAAGGTACGTCTACTATTGAGAAAACTGGGAACTACAGAACATAGTAGGATCGTAGACTTCATACTACCCAAGAAAACGACTGACTTGGATTTTTCAGAGACTATTAAGCTCCTATCGGAACTATTCGGGCCTAACACAACCTTGTTCCACAAACGTTGGAAATGCCTAAACACAGTCAAAAACAAACAGCAAGATTTTCTAACGTTTGCAGCATCGGTAAACAAGCGCTGTAATGATTTTAAACTAGCCGAACTGACTGCCGATGCTTAATTTTCGCACAAGGTCTAGTATCAGCAGAAGACGCCGAAGTCAGACGACGGGTACTGACCAAGCTTGAGAACGAACAAGTATTGACTCTCCAAAAACTGGCAGAGGACTGTCAAAGAGTAATATCTGTAAAGCGTGACTCAAACACTATCGAGGAATCAGGTGTGACTCAGATTAATAAAATCAGAAGTAAGTCTACCTCCTATTCCCCTCAAAAAGACAAAAGGCAAATCTCATGTCCTAAATTCCGCAGTAACCAAAACCCAAATAAGTTAAAGAAACCGCCCGGACCATGTAACCTTTGTGGTAAATGGCATTGGATGAAATTCTGTCCAGTTAAGAACAAAAAATATTGCAAAAATTGCAATAAAAGTGGGCATACTTTAACTTCGTGCTGGTACGCCAATAGAACGAGAAAACCCAAAAATAAAATTAGGCAAGCTCAATCTGACAATATTGTCGATAGGAATTTAAGAAAATATGTAACAGCGGATATTTTCAATAAGTCCATTAAATTCCAGCTTGACTCGGGTTCTGATCTTTCAACCATTAACTGGCGTACTTGGCGAAAATTAAACAAGCCGACCTTATTAAAAACGGATAAAACAGCAAAATCCGTAACTGGCGAAAAGATTAACATTTTAGGCGAGGTAATACTTACAGTAACACTAAATGGAGTTACCAAAAAGCTCAAAGCCTACGTATTGAAAACTTCAGATAACTTATTTGGAACAGATTGGATAGAAAAATTCAATCTTTGGGATTGCCCAATGAGTACATTTTGTCGCAAGATACAAAGTACAACGTCCAATTTGGTAAATCTCAAAAAAGAACTCAAACAACAATTTCCCCAGGTTTTTCTGGCGGCCTTGGGAAATGTACTAAAATGAAAGCTAAGTTCAAGGTGAAGGACGGTGCAAAACCGGTATTCAAAAAGAAACGGAATGTCCCTTTCGCTGCTCTAGAGAAAATCAACAAAGAGTTAGATAGACTCGAACAAGCAGGTATTCTGTCAAAAATAGATTTCAGCGAGTGGGCAGCACCTACGGTCTACGTAAAAAAGAAGTCCAATCAAATACGAGCCAACGCGATCAGAAACCTGCCGGCCCCAGATAACGTTCAAGCATTACAAAGTTTCCTCGGCCTAGCTAACTTTTACCAAGGGTTCATTAAGAACATGCAAAATTTGAGAGGGCCTCTCAACCAACTTTTAAAAGAGGACAAACCATGGTCATGGACCCCGGAATGCCAAGACGCATTCAAGTAGATCAAGAAAACTCTTACTTCAGACCTCTCCCTCACCCATTACGACCCTAGTCTCGACATCATAGTCACAAGTGATGCAAGCTCGTACGGCATAGGCGCTTGCATTTTACATAAACTGCCAGATGGTTCGAGAAAAGCTGTGGCTCACGCATCAAGATCTCTAGTTCGATCTCGACATGCCCCAAGTCTCTCCGGAAGTGCGACGCTCAGGAAGGAAAAGGAAATTCCCCCACCGATCGACGTAAATCCCAAGAGGAAAAAGTATTAACAGTTTTATTTTTTCTCTCATCTTCAAAAAGAAAACTCTTTGGAAGGGGGGTATTGTGAGACCGGAAACTACCTACACAATAGACTCTTCCAGGCCTATATTAAGTAGGCGACATAGCACTCTAGAGAGTGACACAGAGAGTCTCGTACGACTACCAGTGTTGGACACTAACTTATAGTAAGCTCTGCTTACACTATCTCTGTAACCTGTTGTTAATATATCTTTCTTACATCTAATCCGTGTTCCGTGTTTTCCTTCTGTGGTCCCAACTTTGGCCCCACATCAGAAACAGAAGTAACTTGTGTTTCTTAGAGAGGCTTATTATATTAAAACGTTTAAATAACCCTAACTTGCTGAACACGAGAAGCGAATTGATTGCTTCAAGTATCCATAAAACCAAACATCTGCTCAAATAGATTGCCCTCGATTAAAATATATTTCAAAATAGATTTTATGAATATTAATATATGTAACACCTATTAATATTCATAAAACTAAACATTGATAACATGTTTTATATCGCTATAAACATGGATAATCCCATATTATCGTGCGTGATTAATTTATAACATGTGTATATGTAATTTAACCTTTGTAAGTATAAGCACATTAGATATATAGTGTTAACCTATTATTATATTAATATCGTGAGTACTAAGTTTATTCCATAAGACAGTACTTTCACTGTTATAATAACGGTATTTTATGCAAAAAGAGAGTTGTCCCCTTGATACATAACGTGCTTACATAATTAAAAAGATTTATTTAAAATAATTTTTAACTATTTACATTATTATTCGGACTATTGTCCTCATCTTTGTCGCCATATTTATTACAACGTCAAAAGAAGACATAGACACATTTAATATTGCAAAGAGCGCAAGTGAACTTGTAGACAATAAGCAGATGACAATGAATAAAAAGTGTATTTAAAACTAGAAGGAATAATTTAATAATTTGTGGAAAAAAACGTGAACGAAATCGTGCAATAAGAACAAAGCATAGCTTCCACTTAATTATAAATGAATATCCCAGTTCTTTGATGACCGGAGCGTACAGCGGCCAAAACGTTGTAATAAATATGGCGACAAAGATGAGGACAATAGTCTGGATAATAATGTAAATAGTGTACAAATTACCTCATCTCAGAAATATAGACAAATAATTTTTAATTTTTATTTTTTTTTAATTCTTAGTCTTTCGAACTTAAAAATTATAATGATATAAATTATAAATAACTAATTATAATATTACAGGCAACAATAATAAAATAAACAAGTCTTTACACACAATTTTGAATCATCACCACGAGAACGCGAATTTCATAACGCTTTAATGGTGAGTCGGTAATCCGCACCTGAAGATTGCAAGTTTGTATGAAACTCCGAGTCGTGCTATTGACAAATAGATATTATATATACTCAGTGGATAGATCTCTATCTATAGAAGGCAGGATGTGTGTGCATGTGTGTGTAACGAATGCACGGCCGCAATTTTCGATGAATTTGCACCAAAATTTACATGCACATGCTCCAAGTTAGCGGAAGGCCAACACCGACTTTGCATTTCTCAACTCCCATTGATAGTGGAAATAATCGATTTTTTCATGCTTCTACGGAAGTTTTCATGTAGTTTGTGGCCATTTTCTACTGGCCAGAGTGAGAGCCTATAGCTGGCTGCCACGAACAGGCAGGAAGATTCTATTGGCCAGCGTGAGAGCCAACAACTGACTGACACGAATGTTAACTAGCATGCTAGCATGCCAAAAAAATCGATAGCTGCATTCGTCACAAGTGGGAAAAATTTAAATCTGCATGACTTTTTACTTCAATTGGCTCATTCACTTGCTTAAACTCAACGTTGATTCTGATTCCGCAGAACTGGGTTGAGTGTGAAAAAGCATTTGTTGTTAACATTCTTTTTTCATTCGGGTTTTCCAGTTACGAGTCCTTTTTTAAAGCTGATCATTTTGTGTTCATTTTGTTGAGTTCTTTTTTCGTAACAGATTTAATGTTTAGTATAGAGCTTAGAAAAAAATCGCAGTGTGAGATAGGCAAGAAGTAAGGCATGTAGCAACATCAGCACGGCAAAGGGCACTCCTTTAAAGACAAGGAAGGCCAAAAATATTTTAAGTCAAGTGATAGCGATTGCTGTATGAGTCGTACGATTTTTGAATCAAACACGGGCAACGCTGGGCCATGCTGCTAGTATTATATATGTATTCATTAGATAATATTGGATATTATATATATTCACTAATATATATATATATATATATATATATATATATATATATATATATAAAGAAAGAAAGAAAAAGGAGGATAGATAGATAGATAGATAGATAGATAGATAGATAGATAGATAGATAGATAGATAGATAGATACTTATTTTGCGTATAAAACGTCTCTTTTTTTTAACTTAAAAACTTTTCTCATGCGTCATGGAATAAAATTAAATCAAATTATTATTTCTATCGTTTTAAAGACTGGGTCCTAGAATTTTTCCCTTTGTTATGTCTTAATTCAAATTGCTCAGATTATTAAGAGTAAGTTGATAATCTTAGAAAATAAGGCGGTTAATTTTCGTCTCATCATTGTCACAATATTTTGTATCCTTTATTATGATCATTATACCTTTTATTTTCATGTTATAAATTTCATAAAGATTAGATCTTTCTTATTTTACAAATTTTCGGGATATACAGAAGTACGGGAAATATTCAGTGTTTATGATAGTCATAATTGTGTCTTCATAAAATACTGAAAAAGCAATATAAACTGAAGAAAACGTCAATCAATGACATTATTCTTCCAAAAAGTGTTTCCGCTTTGTTACTAATGAATATTACTAAAACACGTTTTTAATCAATTGTGAATGAAGAATGGATAAAAGAGATATCTATCTATCTATCTATAGATAGATAGATAGATAGATAGATAGATAGATAGATTTTTTTTTTAAATCAATAAGAATCGAAAGTGAAAATGTTAATGTTAATATTTTAAAAATCTACTTTGACCTCAGCATGTAAATCGGTCGGTAAACAAAATGGGCAAACACATAAACCTGTCCAGAACATTATCGGCTGTCATTAATTGCTGTACCACAAAAACATGACACTGTCAGGTGCAAATAGATCGCACTAGCTGTTTGCTAACATTAAAACTGTTTCCGAACTTATATTTTGAGTTGACAGTCTCTGGGTATTTCATCAATCAGCAAGAATTCTCAATCGTGCTCAGCAAGTATTCTCATCCGGATGAACAAAATAAAACAAAAGTGTCAGAGTGAATTGAGAAGCTGTCAGCCATGGCTGGCAACGAGAGACAATGAAAAATTGTCTATGACACAGGCTTGGCCAAGTGAATGAGATGGATTCATATTAACTGACTAGTTGTGGCGTACGGATAGATTATGACTGACGTATTAGATCAGTAAATCAAACAGCATTGAATTTAATGAGGAATTCCTTTAGTTCGCTGAGTGGAAAAAGACACCAGAACAAACTTTAACTCCTCCAGAGAAACATCCGATGTGTTGCGGCCAATAAAGACGAATCATAGAACTGGAACGGCGTCAACGTCAAACATTTCTATGCAAAAAAGAAGAAGTACATAAAATATAAACTTTTCGGTAAATTTCGAATAGTCTCTTCAATGATGAATTTGGTGAAGAAACTTTATATTCAGTCGATATGCTTAATACATTAAGTAAAAACCTTTTTGTTGCGGTTGCTCAGACATACAGAAACAGGATATATCTTTTTTAATGGATTATTTAACCCTAGAACACTAACCATCAATTAAAGTTACACCACTACTAACCATGGGTATATCATACCTGATTTTGAAAATATAAAAAAAAATCCTTATTTGAAATATTTTAGATGCATGCACTTCAAACTTTGTACTTTGAGTTAACATTAATAGGAACTGAAAAACATTATTCGGATAAGAAAACATGGTACTGAAAATTGTAATTAAAAATAGGAAAATTTTCAAAATAAAAAAAAAAATAAAAATTATCCTACGATGACTTCCAAACTCCTCATACGGCTTTCCAGGTCCTGTGAGCCACTGCTGAAGCGGGTACTGGTCTCGAGCGGACTTCCAAACTCCTCATACGGCTTTCCAGGTCCTGTGAGCCACTGCTGAAGCGGGGGGGGGGGCTCAATGGCCCTGAGCTGCTGCGGCTTCTGTAGGGACGGGACGTGGAAAAGGCCTTATTTTATCTATCACAAAAAGCACTTTTTTCACTAATAATTTTTTTTAACTAACATGACTGTAGCAATTGACTATTTATTTGTTATGCGCAAGTAAATAAAGTCTTCAGGTGCATTTCTACTTACCTCAGCCTCATATACAGTTGCTACACATGGTGTAATGTTTGGGACACATAGCTCGTTGATAGGACACACACCGGAAGCGTGTTTTTTGGTTTCTTTTTGCCTTCGTGGGACAGACAACACAGCGCACAATGTACTCCCTCATCTCTGCTGCAGGTAGTCCAGAAACTCTTGAAGATCCAAGGGGAGTAGACAGCTCAAAAACAGTGCATATATGATCCTTGAGCTGCCTCGGCAGAGTGTGACTTGAGAGTCGATGCACTGCCCAGGGTTTTACCAGTTCCTCAGCCAACACCTACATAAACTGCTTCCTCTTCATCTGTCTGCCACCTGTCTTCTGCGTATTTTCCCCATGGATAATCCAGGAGTTGATGACCCCAGCGTTCAGCATGTCATATAACACACAGAGCGGCCACCTCTTGGTCTTCCTGCCACACGAATATTGAACACACATTTGGTCGAAAGTATCCACTCCTCCTTTCGTCCTGTTGTAGTCCTCGATGATGGTTGGCTTTCCATGCATTAAAGATATGAGGAAGACAATTCTCTTGCTGGAAGGGGTGTTGGGCACATACGACACCAGTGACATGTTCTTCTTGAACACAAAGGCACTGGAACCTGGAGAGCGTGTGGTCTTGTCCTTCATCTCTTCTGGTATCTCTGACTTGTTTCCCCTGACTGTCCCAATTAGCGTCATCCCACAATTGTGCAGCATATCCTGGATGAGCGACACAGAGGTGAACCAATTGTCGGTTGCTACATTCCTGTTGACGTGGTAGCGCTCTGTCAGTTTCTTGGCGAAGGAGTGTCCAAGGTTTTGCCCGTGTCATTTACCATGACGATCTTGATGCCGTACTTCGCTGCTTTATTTGGATGTACACGCGAAAGGGGCAGCGGGCACGGAAAGCAAGCAACTGTTCATAAGCAGTCAGGAACGTATGTGGGATATAATGGGTGTCACAGGCCTTGATGAAAATATCCCACACCTTCCTGATTGGGGTAAACTTGTCGGTTCCTCTTCGGTGTTCTCTGGTATTAGAGTCATCAAAGCGTAGGCAGTTGAGGAGGAAAGTAAAGCGCCCCTCAGACATAGAGGAAATTGTAGAAATTGGAACCAACTTTAGGGTTCCAGACTTCCTTAGTAGAAGCCACTAAAAATGAGGAACCCCCAAACATGGCACGTATCTCCTCAGGTGTTGTGCGTTGTATTGTGGCCTTTTGATATTTGTATTTTGCTGAATCAATGTTTATTTTTTGGTTGGTCCACTGCACAATTTCATTGATGATTTCATCCACAAACAACAATTAGTGCTCCACATAAAGCCTTTTCTAGATATAATGGTAACTGTGTTGAAACGTACAACAAGCTCATCATGATCTGTTTGTGGTGCAGTGCGTCGTAGTCATCCATGGGGAACAGCAGGGACAACAGCAGGTGCTGCAGCATGGCCAGCAACAGGGGAAGTAGCAGGTGCAGTAGAAGGCCCGACCACAGGCAAGGCAGGGCTAACACGCACTACTTTCTTTTTCTTTCTTGGAGGTACATCGTCCAAGTCACTATTGTCACTGCTGTCACTAGATTCTTGCACATATTCAGCATCAATGTCACTGTCATATAATTCTTCAAACTCTAAATTGTTCACTTCATCATCAGAACTCTCTATTTCATTGTCTCTAAATGATTTCTTACTCAAAGCCATTTTGAATAAACCTGTAATCTGAAATATATTTGTAAGTAACACACAATCACTATTTACACAGACTCATAATCCTGTTTTTCATTTCACCGTTGATCACTAAAATATTACGTAAACACTATCCTGGGTAGGCTATACCCGCCGTGCACAACACCGCGTATCACTAACCATGGGTATACGTTACCCAAACGCAGGCCTACAACACTGGGGAGTAGAGAGAGCGAGACGGCGCAAACTTCCCCTATACTGTCAAGTGGGCAACTGAAGCTACTAAGCAGCTGGGACCCCTCAGAGCGCAGGAACCATACGCACGCTCAATGACGTCATTTGTGATGGGTACTATATACCCATGATTAGTGTTCTAGGGTTAATAAAGAAATCCATTAAATATGATTAATTCATGGTGAAGTCTCTAAATAAATCAATCTTACGGTACTTATCGGTATAATTACCTTTGTATATTTAGTATTTCTCGATGTTAAGATATACCATTATGTGAGATAATAGAGACAAGGTGTAACATCATTCAGATTCTCGTTTCGCCGCCTAGTGCCAGGCGCGTACAGCCTAAAATAAAAGACAAAAATTGTGTTGGGATATGCAGAAGAGAGTTGTTTCTCGTATTGAAGCAACTAGTCTCTGCGAGTCATTCCGCATTGTGCTACTAATATTTTTGCGATGATGGGTGATATAGTTGACCGTAAAGAACTGTAAGATAAGTTTACCTTTTCATTCCAGCCTGGGAACGCCTAAGTAGCGAAAAGCATAGCTGAATACTTTTCCCCGTTTATCTTACAATATCAACATTTCTTGAGATATTATTCTACATCCGGCTACCACCTATATACCTTTATTCAAGCGTGTTTTTAAACAATATCTGCTTGGTCTGATATCACGTTTGTTAAAATCTAAATCTGCGAGTCAACCTCTAATTTCTCATTTTCTATTTATAGAAACAGAAAGATTTTCAATCAGTAAATGTAAATGAATGTACATACAATTTTTTTTGACAATACTCTTTATTTGACAAATATGAATTATCAGAATGTTGAAACTTCAAGACAGAATGAATCATCGAAGATTTTTATTCTTGATACAAAACCAAAGAGGTTTTTTTTTTTACAAAATTATATTTTGATTTATAAAATAATTTTAATTTACATTATATGATGCATCATTACTGACGTTGGATTTGCAATTAAATATTGTAAGAGTTTATGCATCCATTTTTATCTTTTCTATTTATGTCATGGTGAGACAATAAGACGAAACTTTTTCTTTAGTGGGAAGAATTGTGCTCAAATAAATTATTATACTTAGAATTCTGCAACGATTTGACTAATGAATATAACAGTTTATTTGGACCATGTCGATACATATAAAGACCATCAGAGAAAAAGCAATTGCTTAGATATTTGCTGATATCAGGCCACACGAACGGTTGATAGTAATCTTTATTCTAGAAAAAAACAAATGATACGAATGATCGTCCATCAAGATCTACTTGGGAAGAGAATATACATAAAACAACATCTATAAAATTTTTAGTTAAAAGCAAAGACATTGTTTATATGATGACCTGTAAGAATTCGTTCATGTTTTTAATCCTTCTGTATTTCTGAATGAAGTTAGTTTACTTTGTTTAATATGAAATTTCCTTGGACATTACCTAATTAACTAGACATAATTTCCTTGGGGAAAATGCTACTGTTCATAAGCAACTGTAAAAAGTTGCTTATAAACTTCCATCTTGAGCAAAAAAGAAGTTAACATTTATCGCAAGTGTTTGCAAGTCAGCAATACGGTTGATGGAAAATCTTATTCGTTTCGAAGAAGAGAAATACTTTCAGTTTCCTTACGACACGCTAGAGAGCTTACATGTTGCAGGATTTAACAATAAAAATAAATAAGTCTATAATTCATCGCCAGCTGAATCTGTGTTTTGAGTGTTCTTCAAATCGAATAGCAGATAAATCATGGTATTCAGAACTGCTGAGCTAATTTACGATGTGCCAATTCAGCGATTCACAGGGTGAATGAGAAAGTTGGCAGACTAAGTTACAAACGACGCATAATTACATCAACACTTACAACCTATTTTGATAGAACTATGTTCCGAATTACATAAACCTAACGAGACATCAGAATACATGTATATGATGTATTAAAAGCTGCGTACCTTTTTTAATCATTTCACCCTAAGCAAAAAAATAAAACCACTAAGACTCGAGTGAACAATAAAAGAACAGGAATTAAAAAGACTGGAGATAAAGATTGACATTGCATTTAAATTTTTAAAGATCAAAGTTGACTGGAAAGTAAAAAACCGGAAGAAGTGTGAGAAAAGAAATTAGTGAAGCTCATTAGAGCAAATTACCATGAAAGTATCTATAGAAAAGGAACAGGGACGCTACATTACGACAGTGGGAAAATAACTGAAGCCAAGATGCCATGTCAGGACCAGTAATATTTCAGATTCTTCTTTGCATTTTTTCAAGAATCTCTAAATACATAGTACAAACATCTGAACATATGTGACAGCAATATTCAATGCATGGACAAATGGTAGACTTATAAATGTGAAGGATAGGTTCTGGTGAGAAAAATAGTCTAGCAATTCATTCAATATAATCTTTCTACTTCATGTCCGCGTAAAAACGTTAGCAGGTAAAAAAGGTAAATATTTTTTTTTTAAAAAAAGGGGTAAGAAAACAGTGAATCGACGGGACAAACTCAGTTCAAAATGGTGGAAGTTTTAAAAATGGCAAAAAAATGGCAAGTCAACAAATATAAATAATACAAAAATGAATAAAAACATTATCGAGGTTTAAATACACCGAAAAAAAAATTAAAACAGAAACGTGCTTATTTTCTTCCCTTATCTGTACCATTCAGTTGCATGGGTCGTTTTTACGTTCAGGTCACTGAACTGCATCAAATTCAACCGATGAAGAAGACTGAATAAAAATCATGGCTCTCCACAGACTCCATTTTCTTTATTATCCGTCAATGTAACACAGTGGAGTGATTCTCCGTTTTCTATTTTGATTTCAGAATAGTCCCTCTCTTAAACTGACTGCTATTGAAGGCTAGAAAGCATAGTATTTAACCCATATGGTGGGGAAAAAGATATTAATGTGAAAGTGAACGCAACACATTAGGCCGGAATTCCAACTCAGCTCACTGGTTCAACTTTTTTGCATTGATAAATGTTAAACTTATACCTCATTCTTGAATTATTACAAAACACAAGATTTGAAAACACATAAGATAAAGATACTAGTTGAAATAATTTATTCAATAGTCACAATGTTAATCTTCGAAATTCTAGCAAAAACTGTTATCTTAAAGATGGTTAAGAACAAAACGGAAAGATAATAAAAATAAATATGCAATTCATGAGACACTCAAAGAGACTATTAATTCAGTAATTTTATTATGAAAAACATGACATTGATAAAATCAACCAAGAATAAGTTGATTAATGATGATTATTATCGATTTTAATAATACTAATGATAATATATATAATTATTTAATTAATAGTAAGTAAATGCTGATAAGAATCACAATAAAATGAGCAACAACAATAATCATTTTACAGAATTGTGCAGGCGGAAAATCAATAATTCAATAGAAAAAATGACATTCATATGCATATAGATTATTTAAAATTACACTTAGAAATCTAGCAGAAAATGTGTATTCTTCACCGATGAGACAAAAATATAATGTCTGTGTTAAATGCAAATGATTTACATGCAATTCTACTTTAAGTGCAGTTTCCTTTCAGGAAATGAGCGATCACTGCTCTTGACAACTTCACACCTTGATTTTTCTCTCAGTAACTTCTTTTTACTCATTATCCTTATTTTGCCATCGATTCTCACAAAGACATTTTCTTTCCTCATTCTATAAAGTTATATCTCTATAAGTTTCCTCAAAGTTCCTTTAGTTTTCCTTAAAGCTTCATCGTTGACCATATGTTTTGTCCATGGAATTTTCAGTATTCTTCGATAGAACCATATCTTTGTCGCTTCAAATCTCTTCTCCATCTGTGAAAAAATTGTCCATCATTCCCTGCCCATAGAGATTAAATAATATGTATCTTTGGTTTTAATGAAATTTTCTTA